CGACGAAGGCGACCGGGAAGATGGAGAAGGTGCAGACGAAGAGGACGATGTCCGTAGGGGCTGGTGGGTCGTCACGTCAGCGTTGCAGCTCTGCGAAAGGCGGCAGGCGCCCGTACGACCCGACGCTGTACAGCCACCTGCCGTCCCACGAGATTCCATTGCCTCCGAGTGACAACAACAGCGACGAGCCCCGATCATCAACGGTTCCTCTGGGCAGCGGTTCGACGCAGGATTGGATGGGGAGCCAGTTGTACAGACAACCCTCGGCGCCGATGTACACTGATCTGCTAGAGGGGCGGACCCCAGTTGGTTATGACGGAGGGCTCGCAGATCTCAGCTTCGGTTTGAGGTCTGGGAGTGGCCAGGACGTCACGCACACCGTTCTCGTGAACCCGGGTTCTGCCAGCAACCACACAGCGCCTTCAGTGGGGCCGTGTGGCCTTCCTGACACCCGCGGTCGGGGTCCTCGTCAGTCGGGCGACGAACGTGGACTCGTTTCCCGAGGGCGGACGACAGTGGGCACAACAGGTGTTCGTGCGGAGGGGACGAGGACAGGTGGATCGACAATGGCAGGCGGCGCAGTCCACCGAGGAGGGGATGACGCTGACAGCTACGCTGCGGAGGGCGCGGGGCGAGAGGTTTGGGATGATTACCGGCGACAATCGCGACAATCTAGCACGTCCGCCATAACGAGAGGGGTGGCGAAGATCAATGTACGGGCGGACGACACACCCGGCGATTGCGACGGTGCGGGTGGTGAATATTTATCGGCAGGCGACGGGGGCAACGACAATGACGACGACGACGACGGGGAGATAGAGATTCGTCCGCTGGGGAAGAAACGGGGAGGGCCGAGGGCGACGAGCAAGTCTAGCGAGCCGCGCGCGGGGCGGAGAGGCAAGAAGACTGCGGGAGATGCATTGGCAGGCGACGGAGCGAAAAGCAGGGATTTTTGGACCGTGGAACACATGATTGCTCTTGTCAGAGCTAAAAGAGACCAGGATTTGCATCTTGCTAGCCTCGGCCACAACATGGGAAGGATGAAGACGAAGACATGGATGTGGGCCGCAGGCTCGTGCAGATGGGGGTGACGACTAGAAAGGCCGATGATTGCGGGAAAAAATGGGACAACCTGTACATGCAGTTCAAAATTGTGCACAAGTTCATGGGAGAATCGGGGAAGCCTGATTTCTTCTCACAAGCGCCGCGGGAGAGAAAGGAGCAGGGGTTCGATTTTCGGATGGACGAGCGTGTGTATTCGGGGATGATGGCCATGTCCAAGGGCGATCACACCATACACCCCACGAATCTGGCAGACACGGGTGCGGCGGGAGGTGTTCAACTGCCAGGACGGACTGGAGGTCGGAACGAATCAGGCGGTAGTGACGGATGCGGGGATGGGCAGGACGACGATCAAGGATCGACGCGGAATTCAAGTTTCAGCGGCGGTGCTGTGGGCGGGTGCGGCAAAAGGAAGAATGTGAGACAACAGACCTTCGACACGATTGCGGACATCATGAAGGACCACGGGAGTCTGATGGCGACGGCGGTGGACAGCGCGAGCAAGAGGCAGTGCTCAATTCTGACTAGGCAATGCGACATTCTCGAGCGAGAGCTAGAAGTGCAGAAGGGGCATTACGTGAAGACGGACCAGGCAAACCTATTGATGTGCGACGCCCTTATAGAGATTGCTAAAGCGATCCGCGAACGATCATGAAGTCGATGGGCCGCACATGTCCAATGTACACGCGAATGCCTCGTGTGTGCTTCTGGATCGTCGGCATTGCCCCCGTACTGCGTGATGTTGTGCGGTGGTGGTGGGCAGGTTGTTTACAGAGGACGGCTCGTTTCTGCATGCGGTTTCCATTGCACGAGTCGACTTTTTTTATTAGTTTGAAGGGTGTCGATTGTTGTCATGCCCGTTGGCACGTCAGTCGGTTTCAAACTACGACGCCCGATTATTGTTCAGTGCCTGTTGACGTGGCGCGTTGCAGTCAAGCGCGGATTGGGATCCAGCAGCGTTTTCTTCTTTGGGGGTGGGGGGGGGCGGGAGATGGTTTGCTGTCGGATAAAGGAATGGG